GTTATGGATGATTTGGTTGAACTTCCCTGCTATTTAGTTCCTTTTGGAAGATACCGGGCGACCATCTCTGGAACTGGATGATATTTGTGGTATGATAATTTTTGTTAATAAACTAACGAAAAATTGATCTGAAAAGTATATGTTGTTTTCATAAACTTTTCAAACTTTTATTCTATTAGTTATACAAATTTATTAATGCAAAATTTGATTCTTTAATTCGAATGAATTAAGTTTTAAATTTTGTTACATTCAATGTAAGAAATAAAAACAATTAATTAAGTTTGAATGATAAAAAAAAAAAATCTATTCTTAAAATTATGAAATATTTATTAAATAACATTCAAGAAAATAGCTTAACTTTATGCACATAAACTTTTCATCGATTTGACACGTAACATGACATGAATTTTTCCGCAAATAAGATTTTCCGCAAAAAGGTTTTTTCCGCAAAAGTTGCTTTACTTAGAAAACTATAACATTAAACGGATCCATTAATGAGGAGGAGTCAATAAAAAGAAAACAAGTTGTCACAACACTTAATAATGATGATCATTATGAGAAAAACAATTTATACTATAAATTGGAAAATTTAAAATCGAAAAAACTCATCCATCGAATTTTGAAAACTTATTCATTCGGATTTTGAGACAGATAATTTATGCTATAAATTGGAAAATTCAATACCGAACAAAAACTTCAATCTCATCCATTCGGATTTCATGTATCGAATTTTATCATGTTTCTGTAAGCTAGCTATAATTTTTTGCAGTAATCGTCAGCTTTTTGTTTTACAGGAAGAGAATACTGTAACGTTATCGTTACAGTTATTTGATTTAAGTTTATTGATCAAATAGGCATGGCTCATTTTATTTGGAACAATTCTTTTATATTTCCTTCCTAAATTTTAACAACTTTATTATGATATTATACTGTAAGGCAAATAAAATTCATTTCAAATATTTGTTATATAAAATTAAAATAATTTCAATCCAAATTTCATTTGATTATACCTTTTCCTGATTATTGAATTTGTATCAAATTAATGAAAATACCGATTTTTTAATAATTTAATTAGCACATGGCTAATTCCACAAAAACCAGTAAACATTCAAAATATCTACACTTTAAAGTATTTGAAATACTTTAAAGATTTGATGCAAAAAATATTTCATAATTTCATGATAATATGTTAAACACTTCATTGTCACCATCTTAGTTTGTTAAGCCTTATCAGATGAACTTTAGGAGTAATGGATAGGAATAGTTTGACTTCGATGATAATGATGATGATGATATACACTTATCTTGAAGTTATTGGACAAAAATTAATTAAAGCACAAATATAATATATGGTATCATTCTTCCAAAAAAAAGTAATGGAACAAATTATAATTATAATAAAAGTAAAAATTATTTAAATTTAATTAAAATGTTCCATTTGGAACAAAGTCATTATTAAATGATTAGTTAGCAGTTAATTAACGAGTAAATAAAAAAAAGATTGCAATCATAAATTAGCTAACCTACAAAGTCGAAATGAATACAATTTGATTTGATTAGCTTTTTGCAACATTACTTTACCTATGAAATATTTATCTCCTCATTATTACTACAAATAATTCGATCCGGATTATTTTATAAACATATTTGATACGGATAGCTACCGGTTGATTTGAATTACAGTATACCGGAATACATTTGTTGTATTGTAGTTTAGGCTACTAATAGGTGATATCGATAAATCAATAAGTGTTATGATAAGAGATATAAGACAAGCATGAAGAATGATTTAAAAGTTTTAATTAATTCTAATTTTATTCGCCAAAAAAAAAAAAGAAATATCTAAAATACTTACTTATAAATGGGATAAGACCATGTACGAACGCTGAAAACATCATATTTCCGTATTGGTAATTGCTCTTGATAATAATTGATATTGGTATGATAAGGTGTAGTGATAATACCAACTGCAGAACGTCCTCGATATAATTTATTTGATAATCGTTGATCATCTTTGATTACCTTTTAAAATAGAACAAAATATAATAACAAAAAAGTTTTCACGAAAAAAATTGACGGAAGCATTATGTTTGCGTATATGTTTTTGTCATCAAAAAGTCTCTCTCTTTTTGCGCATTTACATTTTTTTTTTTCAATTTTATTCCTTCACAAAAATTTTCGTCATTCATTTTCTTCTGTCGTCATTAAATTTGACAAATAATTAAAATATGTCACATTACGAAAATTTTTTTTATAAATTAAAAATTAAAAAACTTATTTCAATGAAATGCAATTTATCAAAAAAATCATAAATTTTGCCCTTTTACAAATGTATTTAGAATTAATCACCAATAGTATACTAATTAAATTCTTTAATTATTCTTTATTTAATCATTTACAAAATTGAAATGGAAAAGCCAAATGCGGGAATAATACTTATTTTAGAGGTTTTTAATTCATATTTCAATTTCTAATTTTAAGTTTTTAACTCATACACAATTATTTGTTTTAAGCAACAATTTGAGTAAATTTTATACCATAAAACAAAAGAAAAAAAAGAGGTTGTATTAATTTTATTGTTAAAATATAGTACATTAAATTTGGAAAAGGGAAAGAATTAATTTATTTCATTTTTTTTTCCCCAAAGATTTATTATAAATTCCAGAAATTCTGTATTTCTTTAAAATAGTATTTTATAGATAGCTATGGTAATGATGATGAAAATTTTACCTTCAATGAGCCAATTTCACGTGCCGGCGTGTATGATCGTCGAATGTTGCGCTCGTAACGTTGTTGAGAATCTATTGGTGTAGTCTCACGTGACCATCGTCCAAGATAACTCTCCCTAAAATTAATATAATTTCAAATGTTAAGCGTAAAATTTTTAAAATTTGTGCTTTTTTTTTAAACAATCAATGAAATTTTTAAATTCTATTTAGCATTTTATATTTTTAATTGATATTTTTAAATGATTTTACTTTTACTGCATTTTACTCATATCTTACTTAATAAAATTTCATTATTCATACAAGCCGTTGTGAAATTTTATTTTGTAAAGTTGTTTTCATTATCATTCCCATACGCTTCTGTGTAATTCATATAAATATTCAAATTAAATTTTTTAAAAAAAGAAAGCACCAAATCTCAATATTAAAAATTCTTCAAAATAATCAAATTGTTATTTAAAAATGAAAAAAGAGAGTGAAAGTAAAGATAAATGAAAATTAAGTCGAAAAACAATGATTTTTCTTTTTCTTTTAAATATCAGTGATAAGTGATAACAACTTATTGAGTGAACAAAACTTCATGAAAGAAATTGAATTGCTATTATTTAACGTTGGAAGAAATTATGCAAATTCAAAATAAACCTTGGAATTGAATTTAAATCGAGCGATCTTGATCGTTTGATAAAATAATTCATTGTTGTCAGTTGATATTAATTAATTAATTAATATGAAATAATTACTAGTCACTGGAAATAATTTCGTTCGATAAATTACAGCCTTATATATTACAGAAATATACGTTCACACAACGGAAAAAATATCGTAAATTTACAGGAAGCTGAAAATAATTCTATCAAATATAAATTATGAAATCTTTATCACTTATAGAGGTCAACATATTTTTTGCCAATTAAAAGTTATAGAGGTCAGCGTAATTTTTGCTAATTAAAATCAAATCGCAAAAAAAAAGACAAGAAAAAATTTATCATTGGAACATAAAAATGTTAAAAAATTAAATGCTGAATAAAATCCATCCATTGTTTTAACATTTCAAAAATACCAATGAAAGAGGCAAATTTTATGTAAAAAAATAAAAAATTACTTGCTAAATTTGAAGAAAATACGTAAAAATATTCATAAATTTTAGCTTAAGTTAATTAAGATAGTTATGGTGTTAAAAATTAAAATTTTTCATTCTTAAATACCTATAAAGATCAAAACACAAATTATAGTAAATAATTAAATTATGATAGAAAAAAAAAAGCACACATCACTTAAGATGTCCTAAAACGAAATTCGAACAATACCTTTGCATTAGCATGTTTAAATTTTAATACTAATTTACAGTGTTGAAATAAAATTTGTCAAAATGAACTAAATGTTATTTTGATTTTAAACAAGAATATCAATGTTATCTTTGCTTAAAATTAAACAGTTTTTAAAAATATGCAAACAACATGGAATACTAATTTTTAAAGAATGGAAATTTTTAATAAAAAAATAAAATTAAATTATAAGTTCAATGGACGATAAAAGAATGAGACTATTTTTTAATTAAAAAAAAATTATATTCTAATAAGCGTTGATTTCAAGAATAGCCTTTAGAAATTTCCAGTAATACTTAATTGAATTAAAAAAATTAATTAATTGAATTAAAAAAAGAAATTGCAACAATAATTCAAACAAATAATATATAGGAAATGATTATACAATATGCAATAATATCATTTAAGTTGAATTGTAAAAAAAAAGTTTGTTTTAGTTAATCAATCTGAACAGTATTACCTAATAAGTTTTCATCTTTTAACTATTTTTTACGTCTATAACGGAAAAAGCATTTCCGGAAATTTCCGGAAAAAGCTTATAGTGTCACCAATTAAAGAAAATAATTAATCCGCTAGAAATTAGAATTAGCTGAATGAATGACGCAACTGTGAAATGAAAAAAGTTATAAAATAGGCGTAATATTTAGCATTTAAAAACTTTCAACATATATTATATATCAAAATTTATTTGATTAATCAAATAATTCAATTGTGTAAAATATTTTTCAAAATTTCCAATAATAAGTTTGTTATTTTTCACGTATTCCACGTGTTGCATATTTAAATTACAAAAACAAATTAATCCCAACGTGTAATTCACGTTACATACATAATATATGTACTAGCATTATTTAAGCAACATTTTAGAAATGTTTGCTAAGAAAGAAAAGAAGAAAGAAAAAAAAAACAAAATGTATGATTTACGTTTTGTTAGCATTTTCATTGCTTTAACTTTTTTATTTTTCTTTACACAACAAATTTCAACAATATTTTCGAACCAATCAACTTTTATTATTTTTTTTTTTAAGAAAATTTTTATTGCATATAACGATTTAAAATTTTTTTTTTGAGAAAAAAAGGAAAAGGAAATAATAAAATCATTGATAAAATTATGTAATACAACGAAATAAAAAACAAATGAAAAAGTTAAACTTTTTTTTAAATCTAAAAATTATTTGCAAAAAAAAACACAAAATGAGATAGCAATCATTTTTGAAGAATTTCAAAATTTTTATCATCCACAACATTTTTTAAGATTATTAAATATGTGTGCATTCATATATGTGTGCATATATTTGTGCAAATAATTATGATAATAATTGGTAGTGGCAATAATAGTAATAATAAAATAATAATAATAATGATAATAATAATAATAGTAATAATAACAATAATAACAGTAATAATAATAATAATAATAATAATAATAATAATAAT